TAATATTTGCTGAAATTGAAAACTGTTTATAGGCCGGAATTACGGGATTAAGACGTGCAGAATCTTTAAATGATGATCCAATTTTCATTGAAGCAATTGCGAATATTGCTAAAGACCATTTACTATCTGGTAAAGTTATGTCAACTCAATTAAAATTGAGATGTCCTAAATGTAATAAGGATGTTTGCCAAAGAGCTAGAGATTTCTTTGAAAACCAAATTATTTAATTGAACGAACTTAATAAAGAGAATCCAATTTTCACAAAAATGCTTGGGCACGTGATATATATGACATACACTACCCTTGAAGAGCACAGTTTTTTGTGAATCGTGGTTTAAGTTTTATTATGATATAAAATAAATATTTATATAATTGTATAGAGCATGTTTCGGTGCATTAATTTGATATATTTTATTTTCTTTTGAAACTACTTTGTGTATCATGCATTTATAAATAAATAAAACTTGGTTTCAATTAAAAATAATATCAAAATGCAGTAAATTTCACATTTTTTAATTATTTTGACATGCAATGATTCAATTTTAATCAAACACAGCTTGACAGAAAGTTTTCAGTAAGGTGAGTATGATATTTTTTTTATTTTATACCTCCATAATCAGTATCTTATAAGATATTTGTATTTATATATTCTAATATTAATCAAAATTAAAGATTGTATTTGATTGCTTTATAAAAAAAAATTTCTTAATGACATTTATAAAAAATTTGAAGAATAATTTTCTAGATAGGATAGAAAAAAGTATTAATCAAAATTTTTCAAAGATTATTTAATTTAAAAAAAATAATAAATTTTTAATGCTTAAATAGTTATTAATTATACTTGAAAATTATAAATATTATAATACCATATTCAGCAATAACTAATAAATTTTCTGATTTAATTCTAACTATTCATGATACTTAAATTTCTATCTTTCAAAAAGTGAATTTAATAAATCTTTTACAAAATATTTTAAGTTTTTTATTTAATATTTATTATTACATCTCTGCTTTTTATATTCTTGGTATTTTTTCATATATATTTTATCATTAATATTATAATGGTAAAATAATAACATTTTATTTATTAGATAGTGTAAAACTTTATAATGTCTTAAATATTATGAATTTCACCATTATTATTACTATTACCTTCTTCTTTTATATAAAAATTACATTTATATATAAATTTTAAGTATAAAACAGAAAAAAATCTTAATAAATAATAACTATTACTTTTTATTAATTGTTCTTTATCTTAGACATTAGAAATAATCAACTTCAAAAAATTTAATTTGTAAATTATACTGAATAAGTAACTCTCAAAATAGTTACAAAAATTATAATTACTTATAGATTGATTATGTCAATTTACATATAGAAATTTAGATTATAAAAATTTTTTAATTAAAATTAAGACCTTATTACATTTTAATTTAATAATATTAAAAATTAAATATAATAAAATCAAATTTTATTAAAAATTTCTAGAATCTGATTTTCATAGTAATTTTTTTTATATAATCTTATTAAATATGAATGCTTTGTAGTAGAAAGGGAGAAAACTACCAAAAAAAATTTTTTTTTACTTTCTAAACTAAATATTATTTTTTTTACAGATTTAATATTAACTCAAAAAAACTTTTTTGGTAATTTTCTTCCTTTCTACTACAAAATGCTTATATATTCTTAAACTTAATAGTATAAGACTCTAATTTTTTCACAAAATGGTTCTTTTAATAACAAAACTGGATTTTAATAGGATATTCTAGCTAACAATACTACCTTTATCTATAAAATATAAGAAAAATAATTAGTAAAATTTGTTTAAAATTATTTATTTATTCTTTATTTATTTAATAATATTAATTAATTAATATACACTATGTAAATATTAATAAAAATGAAAAGAATAGTAATATAAAATATAACAAATCATTAAAGTCAATTTATTATTTAAAATATCAAAAGAAAACTAATTTGATTTAATTATTAAGATCAAAATATACTTGAATTTTTTATAAAATATATTATTAAAATAATATATAAGTTATGCTAGATATTTTGTTTTATTATTATTTCTTCTTTTACCTTTTCTTTTTAAAATTAGCCTTTATAATTTTATTCTAATTCAAAATAAACTTATAAATAATTAAAGAATTTGATAATTCATCATTATATGTTTTTTATAATGATAAATTATAACCTAAAATAATAATAGTTATAGATATATTTTAAAATAATTTTTGATTATTACTTTTAATTTTAATGATTCTATTATTTAATTATTTAATTATAAAAATTAACTGAGTTAATATTTATTTTAAAGCATGTTTATAAAAAAAAATATTATTATCAGAAGAATTTTGTTATGAAATAAAATAAATAATTTCTTAATTAATTTTTTTAAATTAGTAAATCTTTCATTTAATTGAATTTTTAATTTTTTTTTTTTGGATTTTTTAACAGATAAATTAGTATTTATAATTTTATTAATACATTTTTTACTAAAAGATATAAGGTTTTAATTTTCTAATTTATTAGATTAAATTTTCTTATTGATCTCTTCATTTATATTTATTTTTTAATTCTCTTCTTAGATTATTTTTCTAGTTAAAGATAAAATATTTAATTATGATATTTTAGAAAATCTTTATTTAAAATTTATAAGTTTAATAATTATAATATAATTAATAAAAGAATAATTATTTTGTTAATAAAATTTTTTTTATATATTTTTATGATAAGCATATTCATAAAGTAATATAATGAATAATTTAAAATCAAGAAAAAGATATCTTTATTGTATTATAAGCATTTTTTAAGTTTTATAATTTTTTATCTTTAATAATATCATCTTCTAAATTTTTTAAAAAGATATATGTAAGTACAATTCCTAATATTGAAAAGAGATGTAGTATAAATCTAATCTTAAAAAGTTACTCTTAATCATAAATTTATAAAATAATTTTTATAATATTAGTAATACAGTATTTATCATAATTTGTATTTACGTAATTATTAGCTTTTCATCTAATTTAAAGTATTATTAATCAGATATTAAACATTCTTATGAATAATATTTATATTTTAGTAAAGATTTTCAGATTATATATTTTGCTTGATTAAGTATATAAATAATTTTTAAATTATTAATTGATATCTAAAAAATTATAATCTTTAATTATATACTACCTAAATAAAAATAGCAAACATTATATTTTTATTTAATTTTTAAAACTATATATAATTATTTGAACTAAAAATTTAATATATTATAGCTTATGTTTTATATAAACATTATATAAATATTATTTTATTTATAAATAAATTTCAAATATAATTGTTAAAATAAGATTTTGTATTACTTTATATTATATTTAATTTAACTAAAGCTGAACACAATCAAATTATTAATTTTTAAAAATAAAGCATATATAATGATTACTGATTATACTAAATCTATTTATATTGAAAACTTGTTATATTAAACCAAAAACTTTAGAATAAATTTTTTATAATTAATTACATCGAATATAATAAACTTCTATAATAAAATACTATATACTGTATCTAAATTTAATTTAACTAGTCTACTTATATTAATTATATATTTTATATATTGAATAGTTATATAACTAAATAATAATTTAGGTTAGATTTATAATACTAATTAAAATTATTATTTGATATTAAATAAAAATGGTTAAAATAATTTTATACAAGTAAAATGATTAGTTTTAGCTCTAATAGAATAACTCTATGAAGAATTCTGATTCATTTAAATATTATAAAGAAATTTTAAAAAGAAAATTTATGTTATAGAAATTATAATTCTAACTGATGCTATATATTTGACCTAAATTATTAATACTATATTGTGAATAGGTAAATGTGATGCAGCTTATGTAGTGCAGAAAATTGACTAATTTGACATAAATGATATATATGATATGTTAGACATATGTGACATAACTGACATATTAGACATAACTAATTAATATATTAGACATAGTTGATATAGTAGACATGTTAGTTATATCTCTCTATGTAATTTATTTTATATAAATAGATAGCTTTTTAGTTCATGTAAAAAAAATAGACAGATAGGAACTTGATAAGTTAGTTTTAGTAGTTTTAGAGGCAACTGGCCTATCGCGTTACATTTTAGTTTCAGTAATTCATTTCTTTTCTTTTCTTATTCTATATTTTTATTTCTTTTTATTTCTTTTCTTTTATTTTATTATTTTACTTGTGAATAAATACATTATTTTATAATTATAAATCATTAGCAATCTGTTGAATTACTGCTCATTGTAATAGTATAAACACTTTTGATAATCAGTTTAAAATAAAACTCATTAACCGTTGAAAGATTACTGCTCAATTAAAAAGAATAAACCACTTGAACATCCTGTCTAACAGTCATAGTTTGCAAGAATTAAACGTTAACAATATATAATAAATTTTATTATATCCTATAATAATTATATTACTAAAATATTCAGTTATCTAAGATTATAATTTTTCAAATTATTATAGCTTTTTATAAAAAAAAGTCTTAAAACTTAATCACAAAGTAACTGTTTAAGATTTAAATAATGAAAATTAAAAACACTAAAAAAATTATTAAAATTAATAATCACTAGTTAATTAAACAAATAAAGAATGAATTTTAAAAGAAAACTAAAATGCAAGTTTTTATTAAGATTATAAGAAGAAATTTATATAAACTTAATATTTTTTTCATATTTTTAGTATGCAAACTTCTTTTTAATAATAAATAAAGAAAAAATCATTTAAATTAATGTATTAAAAAAATTAATCTATTAGGAAATAGAAGTTAATTATTTGAAATAATGAGAACTACTTTATAATATTTAAAAATATACAATTTTTAATGAGATTTACTATTATTATCAGTATTCTTTTCTTAATACTTTACTAATACCAATTATAGATAATACTATAATAAATACTTTTAAAAAGGATGTTCTACTTAGAGATGATTTATAAGTTTGTAAGAAATTATATGATCAGCTTATTAATATAACAGAAAAAATACTTAAAATTCTTAAAAGTAATATTTGAAAACTTATTTAATTGTTATTTTAATTATATTTTATTTTAATTAATAATATATATTTAGTAAATTAGTAAATTAAAGAAAATTTAAAATGGATAAAAGGAATTGAAAAGAATTTTATACTAATAGAAAAAATATTAT